TTTGCATAATATGTCTTTCTTCATTTCTTTGCTTTTAACCTATATATATCATTTTTTATGTGAGTTTCTTATAGAATTATATTTATCTTGCTAATTTCTGTCTTTTCAGACATGTTTAGCCACTTATAGTTAATGTCATTGCTAATATGTTTGGTTTAGGTTATCATTTTATTGTTTGTTTCATACTTATCCATCTGTTTTTGCTCTTCCATTTCTCCTTTCTACTTTCTTTGGGGTTATCTTAACATGTTTTGGTATTTTACTGTATTTATTTATTTTTACTAGATCTTTTGTATAGTTTTTAAATAGTTTCTCAGGGTTTATAATATATCTACTTTTTATACTCTCCTTTCAATTATAATATTAACCTCTCTGAGTGAGTGGAATGCAGAAACCTAACCACAATCTTATTTTCCCTTTACCATTCTACCTGTGTTGATTTTTTTGTTGTTTGTTTTGAAACAGTGTCTCACTGTGTCGCCCTTGCTGGCCTGGAACTCAAGCTTTTCCTCAACCTCCGTACTCCTGGGATTTATAGGAGTGTAATACTATACCCAACTGTTTTAGTCTTATGAGTTATATCTATGTACACTGAAATTCCCTTAAGACAGTGTTTTAATTTTTGCTTTTAACTGTGAAACATACTTTAAAGAACTGAAGAGATTAGTGTATTTTCCTAGATTTCCCGTTGCTGTTCCTTCACTGCTATTATTCTACATTCCCCTGTGTTACAACTTCCCTTTTTTCAGAAGAGCATTCTCCAGCAATTCTTAAATGTCAGGTCTACTGACTACACATAATCTTAATTTCCCTTTATCTAGGAATGTCCTTTTCCCTGAGGATATTTTCTCAGGATAAGAATTCAAGGTTGACAGTTCTTTTTTTTTTCAGTACTTTGAAAACATTTTCCTGTCTTTCTGGTCTCTGTGTTTGCTGATAAGAAATCCACAATGAATTAAATTGTTGTTCCCTGTAAGTAATAAGTCATTTTAATCTGGATAGTCTAAAGCATTTTTCTTTGTGTTTGATTTTTAGCAGCTTAGTTGTAATGTGGTAAGGAGTGGGGATTTTATTTATTTATTTATTTTTGCATATCCTTCTCAACAAACTTCTTTAGTCTGTTCTCTTTCACAAAATCTGGGAAGTTTTAGGTATTCTTCTTCTTCTTTTTGTCTAAACACTTTATTCTCATTCTATGACTCTAAATACTCTAATGACACAAATGTTAGAATTTGTTATTGTCCCACTAGTCCAAAGAGACAACATGGTCACTTAAGAAGTCTTTTGTTTTCAGATTGGATAATTTCTTTTCTTCTTCTTCTTCTTCTTTTTTTTTTTTGGTTTTGAACGTAGATCCTCATGCATGGTGCCTCTACCATTTGAGCCATACTCTCAGGCCCTTTTTGCTTTAGTTATTTTTCAGAGAGGGTCTTGCGGTTTTTGCCCAGGCTGGCCTGGACTGAGATCCTCTTACTTATACCTCCTACATAGTTGAGATTACAGGCTTGTACCTCCATGCCCAGCTTATTTTTTTTTTCAAATGGGGGGTCTCACCAACATTTCCCCACAGCTGGCCTTCCCTGATTGTCACCTTCAGAGTAACTGGGATTACAGACGTGAGCTACCACACCTGGACAGATTAGAAATTTCCGTAGCTTTATCTTCAAGTTTACTGATTCTTTACTCTGATAACTCCATTCTTCTGTTGACCCCATCCAGGGAAGTTTTAAATTTTCAGTTATTGTTTTTCACTTCTAAACCTTCAACTTACTATTTTATGTTTTATACTTCCTTACTGAGACTTTTTATCTTTCTGTTAATTTCTAGGGTATCTCCCTTCACTTGGAGCATTTGTATAGTAGCTGCAAAAAGGTCTTTGTCTACTAAGTCTGTGGCATCTTGGCATTTGCATGTGTTGATTATCTTTTCATATGTGATTGGAAGTTTTCCTGGTTCACTTCATAATTTTAGATTGTATGCATAATACTTTAAAAATTATTTTTCTACACAGGTGCCTGTGAGCTACTTGGGGTGGAGATCAGGAGGACTGAGGTTCGAGGCCAGCCCCTTCAGAAAGTTTGCAAGCTCTATCTCAATAGCTGGATGCTGTGATGTGTGCCTGTCATCCAGCTATATAGGAAGCATAAATAGTAGAATGACAGTCCAGGCCAGTTTGGGTATAAAGTGAGCCCCTATCTCAAAAATAATTAGAGCAAAAAGGAGGAATGGCTCAAACAGTAGAGCATCTGCCAACAAGTGCAAAGCCCTAAATTCAAATACCATCACTACCATATATATTACCACCCAATATGGGTATGTTTTGAGAGCTTAGTCTTATTTAAATTCTACAAAGAATGTTGATATTTTTCATTTTAGTCATCCAGTTGTGTTCATGTTGTAAGCCTTCCATATATTCTGGACTAGCCTTCCCTGTATTTTGGATTTGATATTAGTTCAGTTTTCAAAGCTTTCAACATGATATTTAGACCTGTTCCAGAAACAAATCAGTCAGAACTTGGCCTTGAGTCTTAGCTCCAGTTTCTAGTGTCAGGGGTACAGTCTCACTTTCAGATTCTTTAGTGATGTGAAGATTGATAGATTGATGAGTAAGTCTAAGTAGCATTAATCTTACCCATTCACTATAAAGTTCCCTTTCAACCATCCTTTCACCTCGAGAGTTTTAGCAGTCATTAGTCATTGCCTAGATTATCTCAATAGATGCAGCAAAATGGTGAATTTTAAATTCTTTTTTTTTTTTTTTGGTGATACTAGGGTTTGAACTCAGGGCCTCAAGCTTGCTAGGTAGGCACTCTACCACTTAAAACAGTAGTTATTATTTCTAACAATAAAACTACTGAAAGAAGTTTTAAGATTTCTTTGTGGTTCTTTTATTCCCTAAAATGTATCCCAATAGGATTTATAGTTAAAATACTATATTTTAAAGCCACTTGAAGTAATTATCTTCCAGTTTTTTGGAGGTACTGGGAAGTAGTTATTTTCTCTGATTTTTTTTCTATGCCACAAACTTGGTTTATAGGGCATTATTGGTTTTGGTTTGTTTTAAATTTTTAGAGATTGTTTCTTCTTTATTTTTAATGTTTTATCTTTTTCTTTCTTTTTTAAAATTGTGGTACTGGGGTTTGAACTCAGAACCTCATGCTTGTTAGGCAGGTGCTCTACCACTTGAGCCACTCCACCAGCCTTAAATTTATTTTTACTTATTTATTTTTCTATTTTGCCAGCACTGGGGTTTGAGCTTAGGACCTTACCCTTGCAAGGCAGGTGCTCTTATCACTTGAACCACTCCACCAGCCCCTTTTTCTTTCTTTAATTTAATTTAATTTTTTAATTATTTTGAAGATGCCACCATTCAATATCTGAACAAAATGCTAAATGTATTGTGCACTGGGCAAAGGAAAGCTATGACTGTAGGACACAATTTCTGTGAATGAAACAAATTGTTGATCTTTCTGGGTTTTGATTTGGGTTTGATCTTACTGCGTTCAGGGATTGATGAGCCAGGAATATTTAGGAATTGATTGGCCTTTTATTATGCAAGTGTGGTTATGAAGTATGGCTTTTACTGATTGGTTGACGTTGTAAAGTGCAACCATCATCATTATTTTGTGTAGAGACAGGGTCTCCTATGTTGCCCAGGCTGGCCTTGAACCCCTGGGCTTAAATGATCCTTTTGCCTTAGCCTTCACAGTAGCTGGAACAATAAGCACATGCCACCACTCCCATATGAAGCTACTATTGATAGACCAGAATGGGTTTAAAGCAAGTGTTGATGAACATTTATTGCTATGTTGTACGTTGCTTTGTTGAATTTGGAGTATGGGAAGTTTTTGTCATATATAAAACATATTCATGGGTCCAAAATAAAAACTATATTATAAAACATATTCACAGAAGTCTGGCATCCATCCTTATCCCCTCCATTCTCAAATTTTCTCTCTTTCTTTTCTATTGAGGAAGTGTTGATAAACCACAGTCTTCAGGCCAAATTTGGCCAGCCACCTTTTTTTTTTGGTAAATATTTTTTGTTGGAACACAGCCACACTCATTTATTTGCATATTACAAATCAGTGGCTTATTTTGTGTTGTAGTAGCAGGCATTGTTAATGGAATATATAGCCTGTGAAGCCTAAAATACTTACTTTCTTGCCTTCTACTGAAAAAGTCTGTCTTAATCCTTGGATAGGATAGTTGTTTTCTTTAATGAAAATTATTGGTTTATCTTCCTTTTTTTTCCCTTCTGTTTAAATAAAAGCAAATATTTAAATATACTTGACGTTTATCACCCTTTTACACCAAAGACAATATACTATAAACTCTTTACTGCATCTTGCTTCTTTCAGTTGAACAATATTTCCTGAAACATTGCTGCTATTGTCTCTCATTTCATACTAAGTTACAGTTTTCATCTCCTTTAAGCTATATTTCTCTGCTATTCATTTTCTATAGATATGCTACTTTTTTGACTTTTTCTTTTTCTTATAATATTGTATAGGGTTTGATCAAAGCCTTTTTCTATGTTCATGTTTATTTCTGTGCATTTTAAGCACATTTTGTAACATTTAAAATATTATTAGCTCTTATAATGTCAAGCTCTATTTTACAACCTATTAAGCTATAAGCTGTTATAAATTAGGTATCCTGTCTTTTTCTTGGCAATTTGTTGTACTCAGGATAATAATCTCTGTGGATCAAGTGCCATTGACCCCATACTTGCTCCAGTTAGCAATCTCAGTTATTATAAATGGTATCTGTGTTCTAACAGTGTATTTGTAATGGCTGGGCATGTCTACTAGAAAGACAATGTGCATTTTAAAATATGTGTTAAACAATTTTTGGAACTGAGTTTGTGGGGCTATTGTGTTGTGTGTTCAAAAAGCAGCTTAATTAATGCATAGGTTTAGTAGTGCTTCTTGATGTTGGAATGTTATTTGTGTTAATTGATTAGCCCTGACATGCTGCTGCTGTTTCTTTTGTCTTAGGTTAAATGGAAGCCACCCTTGGGAGCTAGATGCCTGTGTAGCTGTTCTAGCACATCAGTGTTTTGCAATGAGTGGGGGAGGAGAGCAACCGGATATCCTCAGTGTTGGAATCCTGGTCAAAGAAAGATGGAAAGTGGTGAGTGTACATCTCTTGAGAGAAAGTGGGAGAGAGAGAGAGAACATGCACAAGCATGTACACATTGGGGGAAAATTTTGATATTCTGATAAAAATAGCATTTCTTTAGGGGAAAAATATCCACGTTGCTTATATGCCTAAAGCAGTTAACTTTCAGTTATTTTCTTACAATTAAGTTCTGTTTATACTCTTAATTCTTAGACTTGCTTCATATAATACCAAATTTTCCTAGTTTCTAGGAAAAATAAGGTAAATAAAAACATTTCAGGAAAGAACAAATGAAAAAAATACAGAGCTAGAAAATATAATGAACCTGCTCTTTTTATTTTTCAACTTTTTATTAAGGAAAATTATAAGTATACATAAAATAGATGAATGTGATGAACTTGCCTGTATTTATAGCTTAGCTTAAACAGTCATCAGTTTATGGCTAATCTTGTTTTTTCTTTTTCATTTCCCTCCCAGAATATTTTGAAGCAATCTTTAACTTTAGCGTTTCTTCTGTACATATTACAATATGTATCTTTAAAAGATAAAGCTTTCTGGGCTGGGGGTGTAGCTCAGTGGTGGAGTGTCTGCCTACATGTGCAAGACCCTGCATTTTACTCCCAATATCACAAAATGTTTTTTAAAAGATTTTTAAAAAGATAAGATTTCTTTTTAAAATATAATCTCACTACCATTATCATCCCTAAAAAAATAATAGTTTCTTTTTTGTGTAATAATAACTTAATATCACTGACTATCCTTTCAATTTCCATATTTCTCTAATTATTTTGCAAATTATTCTTGACAGTTTGAACATAGGTCCAAATAAGGTCTGGATATTGCAACTGCTTAAGTTGCTTAAGTTTCTTAAGTTTCTTTTAGTTTCTAGATTCCTCTTTATCTCTTTTTTTCCCCCTTAATGGTTTGGATACTACTGATTGCTTCCATGAGATGTGAACAGGTTTCTCTGACTCATGTATTTCATATGTATGGTAATTATATTTGGAGGCCTGATTAGAGCTGAGTTACGTTTATTTTTTAAAATAGGGCCTTTTTTTTTTTTTTTGTGGTACTAGGGGTTGAACTTGGGGCCCTGCACTTGCTATGCAGGTGCTCTTCCCACTTGAGCAACTCACCAGTCTGAGATGGTATTTTTTTTTTTTCCCCCTTGAATGATTTTCTGACATTTCATTAGGAGGCTTATAATGTCTTATTGTACATCTTTTTTGTGATGTTAGTTGCTACCGATGAGCATTACCTAGGTATATTAATTCATTAGAGCTTGCAAATTGGTGGTATTCTATCATTCTTTCATTTATTCTCTGAAATACTATTTGATTATTCTGAGATACAATTTGATTAGTAAAGCAAAATAAATGCTTGCTTCTTTTTCTTAGTTCTCGAACATCCTCCAAAAGTGACCAGTTTAATTAGAAGTGTTAAGTATAATTAAAGATTTATGAATTGAAACAATTTGATGTGTTTTAGTACAATGTAGTTACTACCCTTATAGATGTGTAGATTGTCTCATTTGACTAAGGGGACACTTTTCAAGCTGTTTCCAGAGTTCTTTTGACATAATCCTAATAGTTCGTTCTTCATTTGTTTCTTTGAGACAGTGTCTCATTTTGTAGCCTAGGCTGGCCTTGACCTCCAGATTCTTTTTTTTTTTTTTTTGTGGTATTGGGGTTTGACCTCAGGGCCTACACCTTGAGCCACTCCGCCAGCCTTCTTTTGTGATTGTTTTTTTTTGAGATAGGGTCTCTTGAACTATTTGCCCAGGTTGGTTTCGAATGGGGATCCTCCTGATCTGTGCCTCCTGAGTAGTTAGTATTATTGGTGTGAGCCACCAGCGCCTGGGTTTGTTTTTTGTTTTGTTTTGTTTTGCAGTACTTGGGGTTGAACTCGGGGCCACATGCTTGTGCTGGCTAGGCAATTGTTCTACCACGTGAGCCACTCCACCAGTGAACTCCAGATTCTTACACTTCAGCTTCCCAAGTACTGAGATTATAGGCATATACCAGCATGCTGCTCTTTCCTAAATTTTTTTTTTCTTAAGTGCTGGGAATTAAATCCAGAGCAAAGCACATGGTCTATCACTGAGCTACATCTCTGCCCTTTTTATTGTAATAACAATTTTGTTTCTATGTTATAGCATATTTTACTGATGAAGTAAATCAGTAGGCTTTAAAATTTTTCTTGGCTAAATAAAAGAATCATGCTATCATGCACCAGTGCAGGGAGATTCCAACAGTTGATAACTGTGTATGTAAGCAGAGATGAGTGTCGTTTTCTTGAGAGCATTGTTCTATGTACTATGATAATGGTTGGCTGTTTTTCAGTAGACTTATCAAAAGGTGACAAGTGAAGATCTGCTAGGCATGGCTCTCTTGTCCTGATAATTAGAGCTAATATATTTATGGAACTTGTTCTCCAAATTTGGGAGGCAGAGTGTGACATTTTTAGTAAAAAATCACAGACTCATTATTAAAGATGGTGTTTTAGTTATCTCTGCTTATGTAACAAAGTGAATCAGAATGAAGAGGCTTAAAAATCAATTTATTTTGCTCACAATTTTCTGAATTAGAAATGAGGGATGAGTTTACCTGGGGTAATTTGTCTTAGTCATGTGATATTAGCAGGATTGGTTTGGATGGAGACTACTTCCAAATGTCTTCTTGTCTTTTTTTTTGTTTTGGAGACAGGGAATCCTTATGTAGCCCAGACTCGCCTTGAACTGGCATCCTCCTTAGCCTCTTGAGCACTAGGATTATAAGTGTGTGCCATCATGCCTGGCCAAATGACTTCTTTACTCACTGATCTGGTATTCTGGACTCCTTAGTGCTCCCACTCTCCTCATTTTCTAGGGAATCTCCTGATGATGACTTTCAAGATAATCACACTTTTTATATGGTGGTTTGCTTTCAAGAGACAGGAAACAGAAGCTATCAGGCCAGTTAAGGGCTATCCTCACAATTGTTACAGTTGTCACTGTGCCATATTCTCTTGGTTAAAGCAGTCACAAGATCCACCCAGATTTAAAAAGGTGGGAAAATAGACCCTACCTCCTTTTTTTTTTTTTTTTTTTTGTTTGTTTGTTTTGCTTTGCTTTTTTTTTTGTGCTAAGGATCAAGGCCTTATACATACTAGGCAATGCTCTACCATTGAGCTACAATCCTAGATCTCAGACCCTACCTGTTGATGGGGGAGTGGTAAAGTCACATTTCCTTCTTCTTTGTGAAAGTTTTTTCTCACATTAAAGAAGAGCCAGGATGGAAGATAACGTAGTGACCATCTGTGGAAATATATCATGCCACAATCCTTAGTTGTATTCTTTAATGTATGTACCTCTATCATACTAAACTCCCTATGTCTCTTTGCCTCAGAACCATTGGTGACATCTTAGGGCTTTGTCAAGCTAATAAAAAAGTTAATGCTCTACTAATGTTCAAATGGCATCATAGAAATAGACTAAAAGCAAAAATATTTATTTTAGTATAGACATTTTTATTCTGTCATTTATTTGATAAGGCTTTTTGTGAGGTAAAATAAAAAGCCACCTCTCATCAATCCAAATTAGGACATATTTAGTACTATTTGTGAGTTTTTGTTGCTGTTGCTTATTTTGCTTTCTATGAGAGAGAGTCTCACTTTGTTGTCCAGTCTGGCCCCAAACTTCAGGGCTCAGGTGATCCTTCGGCCTCAGCCTCTGGAGTTGTTGACATGCAGGCACACATCAGTGCACCTGCTTATTTTTGAGTTTTAAGATTACACTAGGCTTTGTTTAATGAAAAAAATATAAAGAATCATAACTACCAACCAGGGTCCAACAACATATTTAACTGAATAGTTCTGGAATTTATTTTTTAATCCTAAACTCATCCTGTAATACTTCATAGTATTCCCTTCCCATTACTAAACAAAAATAAAGAATAGTAATGACTCCTACATACAGAATAAACAATTACTAAGCAAGAATTGTATAATTAAAACTTTGCCAGATGCTAGTAGGGACATAGAAAATAGGACAAGTGGCCCTGTCTTTGAAGAGTCTTAGTTTTTCTGTAGTGGGGTAGGACATTGACAATGGAAAGTTAATCAATATTAAGTTAAAAAGTAGTATAATAATACAAGTGATATTCTGAAAAATGACCTAATAAAATGATTGATTGAGTGATTAAGCAATAAATTCCCATAGAAGTTCAGATGATAATGAAAGCCTAGATACAATAACCAGGGAAAATCTAGTGGACAAATAAGTAGGACATGAACTTGGGCCTTTTGGGAGGTTAGGATTTTGTAATCTGTGCCTATAATAATGACTTCCTCCATTGTATCACATCCTAGATGTCTGGTAGTGTGATAAAGAGAAGGAGGTCTAGTTTCAGGAAATGGAAGAAGACTATGGTTTCTGGCTGTGTATTGCTTGAGGTATATCATCTTCCCCATATTTTTAGAGCCCTTCAGGTCCAGTTGTCATTAGCTCTTTAGAACTTGTTTATAATACTCAAAGATCATGATGTTTTCTAATTAAGTACTTAACACTTTATTAGAAAGGATATTAAGTGTTTGGTGGAAGTACTTAAGTTGATTAGAACTTACTCTTATTTGAATGTGTAGATGTGTGGTGGGTGCTGGGATAACTAGAACAGCTCTTTGTCTTTGGAGCCTGTTAGTTGCCTCAGAGAGGAGGATAAATGATGAGAGGGCTGGGTACTGGTTGCTTACTCCATCCTCCAACCTCCAACCTCCCTCTTTATGCATACACCAGATTGGTTCCAGATAAAATTTCACTTGGCAAAAGGATTTCATGGTTTAAAAAGTCTTCAAATGATGGCTTTAGAATTAAAACAACAAAGTTGATTGTCGAGTGGCGTTTGTGGGAAATGATTCAGATACTGTATTTTTTGTGACATTTCTGATGTTGGCTATAGACCAAATTTTAACATTGATTGAGGTTGAAATAATTTCATTACATTTTGTCAACAGACATGTGGGAAAAGATTTTTATGTTATTTCCAGGCATTTGTTTTCTTCTTGCCATACATATACATAAATATATATATATATGATTTAATTATTGAAATATTAATTATTGTTAAAATAGGGATAGCAGAATTCCATATTATTTTCTAAATATAAGAGATGAATTGGTTTCCAATTAGAATTTTCTCATAATTTTGAGTCTGATCTTATTTTATTTTCTGTGCAGTTGAGAAAGATTGGGGGTGGGGGCTTTGGAGAGATTTACGATGCCTTGGACATACTCACCAGGGAAAACGTTGCACTGAAGGTGGAATCAGCTCAACAACCAAAACAAGTTCTGAAAATGGAGGTTGCTGTTTTGAAAAAACTACAAGGTAAGCTGCTTTGTATGATATGCAGTTTATAATTTGTATGATAATTTATAATCTGTTATCTTTCTGAACCTCCGTTATATTCTGTCATTACTAATTGAATACTCTGGTGTCAGCTAGGCATAAGCATGCTGAGCATTTTTTTCTTGAAAATTTTAATAATGCAGTAGTAGTAGTAGTAGTAGAAATGTGCACCTGCTTAGAATAATTGGACTTTGGGAATTACTTTTTGTGGTGAGTGTGGGAATGAATTAGCAGAATTATTCTACTGCTTTACTAAGTGTCTTAAATCTGCTCTTAAAGAAAAAAAAAGCATAAAATACCTCTGAGATGTTTCTATTCATGTCTTTGTGTATGGTAAACATTCTTGAATCACACTGAGGATGCTGTCTTCAAATCATACTGCAGGATGGGTTTTAAATGATACTGTTCCTTACATATTCTCATTAACTTCAGTTTCAGAGAATTGCTCTTTCTGGACCTGCTATCATTTTATTACTCAGGTCCTATATTTTTAATAAGGGGACAAATACTTTTTTTTTCTGATGACAAACCAGTCATTTAAAACCCTGAATACTTGCTTGTTTGTGTTCATCTTTGTAATCTGTTTAGTGATACACTGTGATACTACTAATTTTAAAATGTTTTATCTGAATAAAAATTAAGATGATCGTTGCCTTTGTCCTAAGCTGTGTTATCCCAAGTTTCTCTACCTGTTGGTTTATTTGATTAGAGCATGATACTAGTAAAATTATAAATTGGTTTCATAGTCATTTTTAGCTCAAACTTAGCTTTCCTACAGCATGGTAAATCATGAAGACAGTGGATAAATTGAAACTCATTGTCACTGCTAGAAAAACAAAGAATTCAAGAAAGGAGAGTAGAGAGAAAGATGACTCTTTTTTTACACCTTTGTCTGACCATATTTTCAATTCAGCAGTGTAGGTACAGCTGGAGCTATTTCTTCCAGGGTTGCACAGATCCTAGCTTATCTGTTGTACTAGAAGAAAAGCCCATAAATTGTATGTCAGTATCAGCTTGGCTTACACAGTACTACTTCACCAGTCTGTTTTCTACTTGGCTCTGAGGAGGTGCTTCCCTGAGGCAAGAGACGGCTCTGTAAACCCTTCAGTATGTTCTACTTGTTTTGCCCATGATTTGTTCAGAAGTCTATGTGTATAAAGCTTAAAGATCAGTATTAGTACCTTTTATGAATGAATTGGGAAACTGTTAGATACTCATGCTCTTTTTTCATGAAGAAGCATGTTATTACTTAAGATGTTTTCTTATCTGTTTACTGCCATCTTATAACACTATTACTCAGAATCTTTCACTTTCCAAAAATGATTACTTTTAATCTTGTGGTCTGTATTTCAGCAATGCAGCCCTAGATTCCGTTGTCTTGGCTTCCTAATTTATGCATACCCTCACAACTTCTTTTTTTGTTGAGCATGCTTTGGAATTCAGACTCTTGAGAACATTTTTATGGGGCTGAGGTACTCTTACCTTCCTAAGTGACCCTGATGAAAAGTCTAAGTGTGAAAGGAAAAGGTAAATGACCAGAGATTAGCCCTTTATAGGCTTAGTTGTTTTTAAATAGCTGGTATAAGAATTTTTCTTCTTTCCTTCCTTCCTTCCTCCCTTCCTCGTTCCCTTCCTCCCTTCCTTTGTTCCTTTCCTTCCCTTCCAGTACTGGGGTTTAAACTCAAGGCGTACACCTTGAGCCACTTCACTAGCCCTTTCTTGGGATGGGTGTTTTCGAGCTATGGCCTTGCGAACTGTTTGCCAAGGCTGGCTTCAAATTGTGATCCTCTTGATCTCTTACTCCGGAGTAGCTACATGATTATAGGCATGAAGCACTGGATGTTTCTTTACTAGATGAAAAGATATTTTATGATGAGTTTAGCTTAAAACCTAAATTTTGCTCCATTTATTTATTTCTACCTTTTTTCCCCGAGTCTCTCCTTATAGCCCAGGCTGGCCTGGAACTTGCTATGTATCTAAGGCTGGCCTGGATACAGAGCCTCCAGAGTGCTGGAATTATAGGTCTATGCCACCAAGCCAGGCTCCAGTTTAGCTCCTTTTAACAAATCAATTCTTCCCTCTTAAAATTCATGTAAGACCTTTTCTCAAATTCCCTCAGTTCTCAAATACCTTTCCTATAATCTTTACTGCATTTAACAAGTCTAAATTTCCTTAGGTCAGGCAAAATTTTTATTACTAGTATGTTACTTAGCTGGGTGTGGTGGGATTATGCCTTTAATCCATTATGTGGGAGGCTGAGGCTGGAGGATCTTGAAGTTCAAAGGCAGTCTTGGCTACATAGCAAGTTCCAGGCCATCCTGAACTACCTAGCAAGACTTTTTCTCAAAAAAACAAAACAATAACAAAAAAATTGTATGTTCCCTTCTCATTTGCCCTCAAGTATAAAGATATTTTTCCCCTTATTTCCTTCTTAATGACCTCCTGCTACTAAATCAGATTACTTTTCATCTCTCTGAAATATTCTGGATGTAACTTCCAGTTCTCTGTTGAATCAAGTGAATCAAGCTATACTCTTCACTTTTACTTTTTTTTTTTTTTTAGCAAATGTATTCAAATGCGTTAGTTACTTGTAAACTATACCATTTGTTTATAGGCTTGTAGCTGATATTTGTTCCCGTGAGTTGTTCGCTAAACTGACCCTAATAAGTAGAGCAATAAAACTTAAGATTTTTAGCTTAGTAATGTCATTGTTAAAAGACACATCTCTATATAATAATTTGCCTCTTCATTTGTGACTATACCATCTTTACCTTTTATTTTTCAATTTATTTGCTTTGAAACTGCAAAGGTGCTACTTGTCTCCCTTGTCTATTAGATTCTTTTTTCTCTCTTCTTTTACATCTTAAGTAAAATGCTCTTTAGTGATAACCTACCTATCTTCACTTCTCCATTTTAATGATCCCTTATGCTCTGCTATTTCTCAACACTACTCTTTCTTCTTTTGGCAGTACTTGGATTTGAACTCTGGGCCTCGTGCTTACTAGGCAGGTGCTGTACCACTTGAGCCACTCCACAAGCCCTTTATTTTCTTTTTAATAAGTATGGTTTTATTTACAATATTATTGTAAGGGGTAAAAAAAAATTTCTGTCCTTTCGTTTCAAATCTGACACTAGTAAATTGTATAGCAACTTAGGAGCCAATAGTATGTATTAAATTAGATTTCCATTCTACACTTAAAATTTTGAACATTTCTGGAACCTCAAAGTATGAGGCAAGAAACTCTTAAATTTGTTTGTAATCCCTAATTTTGAAAAAAAGGGCCTTTTTTTTTTTCAGCAGTTAAGAGACATACTGCATATTGCCTGCCCTCACACATGCACAGCTTTCATAATTATCAACATCCCCTACCAGAGTGGTGCATTTGTTAAAGTTAATGAACCTATAGATCATTGTTACTCCAAATTCAAGTTTGTAATATGGTTTCCTCTTGGTGTTAAATATTCTATGAGTTTGGTCAGGTGAATAAATAAAATGGTAGCTACATGTCAGTATATATATAGAATGTGTGTATATATAAAAATATGTATATACATATATATACATATTTTTCCACTGCCCTAAAATTCCTCTGTGTTCTTTCTATTTATCTCTCTATCCCCTAACTCTTGGTAACTGGTCATCTGTTACTGTCTTCATAGTTTTGCCTTCTCCAGAGTGTCATATAGTTGTAATCATATAGTGTTGGCTTCATTCACGTTGTAATATTCATTTAAGTTTCCTCCATTTTCTTTTCTTTTTTTGTGGTACTGGGGCTTGAACTCAGGACCTACACCTTGAGCCACTCCACCAGCCCTTTTTTGTGATGATCTTTCTCGAGATAGGCTCTTGTGAACTATTTGCCTGGGCTGGCTTCGAACCACGATCTTCCTGATCTCTGCCTGTGAGTAGCGAGGATTACAGGTGTGCGCCACTGGCGCCCAGTTCCTCTATGTCTTTTTATGACTTGATAACTCATTTCTTTTTGACATTGACTAATATTCCATTGTCTAGCTATACTAATTTATCCATTTAATTACTGAAGGACACCTTGGTTGCTTCCAAGTTTGAGCAATTATTAATAAAGCTGCTATAAACATCCATGTGCAGGTTTTTGTGTGGATATAAGCTTTTAGCTCCTTTGGATAAATACTAAGGAGCAATGTTGCTGATTAGAAGATAGTAAAGGTATGTTTAGTTTTGTAAACAACAACCAAACTGTCTTCCAAGTGGCTGTACTATTTTTGTATCCCAACCAGCAGTGAATGAGAGTCCCTGTTGTTCCACATTCTCTCCAGCAGTTCTTAACTGTCAGTGTTCTGGATTTTGGCCATTTCCCTGGTGACATATGATTTATATCTTCCCAGGTGAAATGTCTCCTCAAGTCTTTGGCCTATTTTTTAATCAGGTTGTTTGTTCGCTTATTATTGAGTTTTAGGAGTTCTTTGAATGTTTGAATATCAGTCCTTTAGCAGACAGGTGTTTTGCAAATATTTTCTCTCAGTCAGTGATTGTCATGTTATTTTGTCTCTCACAGAACAGAAGTTTTAAATTTCAGTGAATTCCAGTTTATCAATTCTTTCTTTCATGACTTGTTTCTTTGGTGTTGCGTTTTAAAAGTCAGTGCCAAACCCAAGATCATCTGGATTTTCTCCTATGTCATTTTCTTAGAAGTCTTATAGTTTTGCATTTGACAAGTCTGTTCTATTTCAAGTAATTTTTTGTAAAGGGTGAAAGGTTTGTATCTAGGTTTATTTTATTGCATATAAATCTCCAGTTGTTCCAGCACCATTTATGGAAAAGACTATATTTTCTATGTATCTATATATCTTCTCTATGTAGTAGTACCACTGTGAAAGATTATACTGGTTATACTAATGCAGTCCTATTTCTGGGCGCTCTGTTCTGTTCCATTCATCCATTTGCCTGTTTTTTTTTCACCAGTATGATGCTGTCCTGATTACTCAGATTTTTGTACATT